TGTTCCAGTTTTAACGGATGTCTCGAAAGCTTTCATTCCTAAGAGAGGAGATACTTTATATCATCCAGACAGTGGCAGACATGTAGTTACAAAAGTAGTTTTGCATGTTACCGTTTATTCTTACCTGGCAGTCTGCGAGGAGAAGGCTGCAGGTAGAAGCAGTTGCAAAGGGTCAGACAAGAAGCAAGGATTGGATTGTATATAGATCGGAAGACCAGGTCGGAATTTGCATCGATTATGTCCATCGGAAGTAGATAATCGAGAGTTGTTGTAGCAGCACAAATCTTTACGTAAGCCAAAAAATCGTTTGTGTAAGAGGAAAGATACGAATTATGACCTGGTCTTCCTATCTATACAATGAAGTCCTTGTTTCTTGTCTGACGCTTTGCAATTGATTTCGGCTGATACAACAACTTTCGATTATCGACTTCATTGGAAGTAGAGAATCAAGAGTTTTTGTAGCAGCACAAATCTTTATGTAAGCCAGAATCGTTTGTGTAAGAGGAAAGGGCAGCATTGGGCAGAACAGGTACAGGGGTCGAAGAAAGGCCAGAGGTGGAGCCGGAGGTGTCAACACAAAGACCCCGAGCTTGAAGCAGATGGAGAAGGTGGGGTCTGGCACTATACTGTCGCTGTGAATGGACACTTAACGATGCCCTACTTAGATGAGTGAACAAGTGGACCATAGTGGCCCAAGTTGCTGTAAGTTTTTGGGGAAAACCCTAGGCTACCAGCCGGGCCGCCCGGGTCCGGGGTGGCCAGCCCGTGCAAGGACAAGGGAAGGTCCCAGCAAAAAAAAATAATAAAAAAAAAAAAATCCGAAAAGAAATTATGGTATGCAGAAAAATAAACTGAACAACTTTTGCCTCAGGGTCACATCGAAATTCTTTACCAAATTTAAAATATAAAATATATTTTAAAAAAATATATATGTGAGGATTGAGCCCTCAAGTAGGGGCCTTGCCATGATGTACATGTTCTGGGCTAAGGCCCCAGCAAGCCTAGTGCCCGCCCTAAGTGAAGGCGGGCCAGCAAAACGACAAGAGCCCTTTGTGCAACATTTTAYGAAGTAGGGGTTCATACAGTTGCAGCACGCCAGTTGGTTGGAGTGCACAGAGTCTCGGATTTCAGCAAATGCTGAAAGCCCAGGGCCTCTGAGTTGGTTAGGCCCTGGGCATCTGAACGTGAGGACGACAATGCATGCTGGGAAGAGAGGCCGAAAATGCCAAAGGGAAATCGGCCCACTATCTGAATCTGGCCGCAGGCCTTGATGAAGGAGGCGCAACTGCCTTACCCCGCGGCCCAACTGTATCGAGTTGGCTTCAGCCTCTGGGCCCCGGACACAGGCTGAAGGGAGGCCGCCACACACTGCACTGGATATAGGCAAGCAGGGCGAGGCAGCGGGGAGCTTGGCCAATGCTGGCATATGCGGACACGCTGCGCAGATGCAGGTGTGCTGCGCTAATGCATAGCAGCGTTGCGCTAAGTAGAAGGAGGGCAGCGCTAGGCGGTAGGGCGCTGCCTGCTTGCAAAGCACTGGCGGCCATAGCCGGGCCGCAAGAGGGTGCAGGGGAGGTGAGGGCGAAGGTGGTACTTCGGAGGTGAAGGGCGCTGTGTGGGTAACAAGGGAGAGTGTGGGAAAGATGACACGTACCTGGTGATGGTGGAGGTCTGCATTGGTGTTGACATCATCACTCGCTGGTAGTCAAGTTGTCTGGTCGCTGTTCATTGTTGTAGTCGTAGGATAGGCTGTAGAGTA